ACGAGCTCTATCCAATGGACACCTTTCCGGCTCGATTCGATACTTGGATCCCCTCCGAAAGGGCAAATCCTGGTCGAAATCCAAACTGTTGGGCGATATTTCGCAACTGGATTCGCCTATAGGTTATACCAAAACGCGAAAATGATATACCAGGATAGAACTCGACGAGCTCTATCCAATGGATACTTTTTCGGCTCAATTCGATGCTTGGATCCCCTCCTAAAGGGCAAATCCTGGTCGAAATCAAGATTTTCGGCGTTATTTCGCAACTGGATTCGCCTATAGGTTATACCAAAACGAGAAAATGGTATACCAAGATAGAACTCGACGAGCTCTATCCAATGGACACCTTTCCGGCTCGATTTAATGCTTGGATCCCCTCCGAAAGGGCAAATTCTGGCCGAAATCCGAATTTTTGGGCGATATTTCACAACTGGATTCGCCTATAGGTTATACCAAAACGAGAAAATAGTATACCAAGATAGCATTCGACGAGCTCTATCCAATGGACACCTTTCCGGCTCGATTCGATACTTGGATCCCCTCCGAAAAGGCAAATCCTGGTCGAAATCCAAATTGTTGGGCGATAGTTCGCAACTGGATTCGCCTATAGATTATACCAAAACGCGAAAATGGTATACCAAGATCGAACTCGACGAGCTCTATCGAATGGACGCCTTTCCGACTCGATTCGATGCTTCGATACCCTCCGAAAGGGCAAATCCTGGCCGAAATCCGAATTTTTGGGCGATATTTCACAACTGGATTCGCCTATAGGTTATACCAAAACGAGAAAATGGTATACCAAGATAGAACTCGTCGAGCACTATCGAACGGACACCTTTTCGAGTCGATTCGACCTTTAGATCCCCTCCGAAAGGGTAAATCCAGGTCTCAATTCTACAATCATTGGAATTATGTTGCGATTTCATTTTGTCTTTCTAAAAACGATGCAAAAGAAATTTCATTTTTCTTCAAATAAAAGTGCAAATCAATTATTGATTTAGTTTTGGTTATGCGTCATATGTTAACTTAAGTTTTTTTTTTTATTGTGCACATTTCTTTAATTTTAAAATACTCGCAATGACAGTACGACGACGACATCTTTCTATTTATAGTTCGTTCTTATTTTCATGAAGGATGGGTATGTGAAGAGGAAGCGAAAAAAAAATTATTGGTGAATAATATCTAATCGGGATTGAAGAGAACGAGAAAGAACGAAAAAAAAATTTCATGTATATCTGTCACGTACGATACATGCGTGGACGTAGCTCCATCTTTCGTTTCATTCATCCAATTGATCGCAAGAAAGGAACCAATGAAGTAATTTTCCTCTCCTGTCGATAAGTGTATCGATGACTAACGGTAGGACGATGATCGAGATAAATCCAAAAATGTTTTTTTTTCGTTCTCTCTCATTCTCTTCAATCCCGATTAGATATTATTGACCAATAATTTTTTTTTCGCTTCCTCTTCATATACCCATCCTTCATGAAAATAAGAACGAACTATAAATAGAAAGATGTCGTCGTCGTACTGTCATTGCGAGTATTTTAAAATTAAAGAAATGTGCACAATAAAAAAAAAACTTAAGTTAACATATGACGCATAACCAAAACTAAATCAATAATTGATTTGCACTTTTATTTGAAGAAAAATGAAATTTCTTTTGCATCGTTTTTAGAAAGACAAAATGAAATCGCAACATAATTCGAATGATTGTAGAATTGTGACCTGGATTTGCCCTTTCGGAGGGGATCTAAAGGTCGAATCGAGTCGAAAAGGTGTCCGTTCGATAGTGCTCGACGAGTTCTATCTTGTTATACCATTTTCTCGTTTTGGTATAACCTATAGGCGAATCCAGTTGCGAAATATCGCCCAAAAATCTTGATTTCGACCAGGATTTACCCTTTAGGAGGGGATCCAAGCATCGAATTGAGCCGGAAAGGTGTCCATTGGATAGAGCTCGTCGAATTCTATCTTGGTATACCATTTTCTCGTTTTGGTATAACCTATAGGCGAATCCAGTTGCGAAATATCGCCCAAAAATTTGGATTTCGACCAGGATTTGCCCTTTCGGAGGGGATGCAAGTATAGAATCGAGCCGGAAAGGTGTCCATTCGATAGAGCTCGTCGAGTTCTACCTTGGTATACCATTTTCTCGTTTTGGTATAATGTATAGGCGAATCCAGTTGCGAAATACAGGGGAAACCGGATTTTGGCTAGGATTTCCCTTCTGGAGCGGATCCAAGCATCAAATCAAGCCGGAAAGGTGTCCATTTGATAGAGCTCGTTGAGTTCTATCTTGTTATACCATTTTCTTGATTTGGTATAACCTATAGGCGAATCCAGTTGCGAAATATCGCCGAAAA